CGTATAAATTGTTAAGGCATTCCTCAATTTACACCAACCACGATTGTTGTCGAACAACATCCGTCCATCGTGCGCACAGATGTGCGCAAGCAATGATCGTCCAGCTTTTTATCGTTCGCCCATCCTGCACACACCATTCACACACCGTGTGCACACCGCACATCGTGTAACGTTGTGCGATCCCACAACTGTAAGTTAAAATCCCTGTAACTATAATAAAGAATTAGAATTGAACAATATTCCCCTTAAGGACCTCTACTCTTTGCCCAGCAAGATATATAGCCAAATCTCCTCTGTTATAATTTGTCACTTTAGCCCAAGGGTTTCAAGATCAATTGAGGTTAAAATCCTTTAACCTGCAGTCAAGGTAAAAGGATTTCATATACTGTTATTACCTTTATTTCCTCTATTGGGCTCTGCCTCTCTACCAGTAAGAAAAACATGCCTTCTGTCTATGCAATGGTAATTGAATTTTCCATGGCCAAAGGATTTAACATTCATTAACTCCTACTCAAAAAGTAGGATGTTCAAGATTGTCCTGTTTCCCATATTAGACTCCATTTTTCTGGCCAAAGATCGAAATTACTTTTCCTAAATTCAAGGAATAAGACCTTAAAGATTTACTTACATTTCTCCTATTGAGACCTGCCCCACTATTTATATATATACTCAGCAAAGTAAGTTAAGGGTCATATATTTTACAAAAAATATAAATAAGACTGAAACTGTCTTAATTAAAGTTTATTTAATTGTCATTTCATTAATATCAATATATATTTGACTTATTTCTAAGTGCAATATTGCACTAAATTAAACATACAACGGAATAATCAATAACACTATGCCCTACCCCATTTTTGAAGTAAAATCACATGTGCTTCAAAAACACAAATTCATTCAAAATTCACAAATGGCATGTATCAGTCACTTGTATGTCCTCCTCTGGGTTGAATTACAGCTCTGCACCGTCTACTGAAGCTGTGGATAATTCTACGAATGATAATTTGTGGCACATTCGCCCATTCCTCGGGAAGTGCAATTTCAAGTTCGGCAATAGTTGAAGGAAGGATATTTCGCTTTTGAATTTGTCTTTGAAGAACGTCCCAGATGCGTTCTATGGGATTCAAGTCAGGAGATACAGCAGGCCAATTCATTTGGTCAATTGTTTCAGTTTCAAGATATTGCTGCACTATCCTTGTATGATGGAGACGTACAATATCATCAATCAGGGTGAAGTTGGGGCCAATTACACCAGCATATGGATGAACAATAGGATGAAGGATCTCGTCTCTGTATCATTGATCAGTCAACGTTCCATTTCTAATCACTTACAAATCTGTTTTACCATCAGTAGATATGCCTCCCCACACCATTAATGAACCACTACCAAATTGATTGTGTTCTGTAACACAACAATCACGAAATCGTTCATTTTTCTCTCTCAACACACGTCTCCTTTCATCGTTAAAATCTACACAAAATTAAGACTCATCAGTAAAGAGAACTGGATGCCAGTTAACATGGTTTCTGCAAAAACCTAATCTAGCAGTCCTGTGTCTTGGGTTCAAAATTGGCCTGACGGCAGGTCTACAAGCATGAAGGTTCGCTTGGTGTAATCGCTTTCGGTGGGTTTGAATTGAAACCGCACCCTCAGATGATTTCTCAAGTTGGTATTCAGCTCTACAACAGAAGAAAAACTATTCCTCTTGGCCTGTAGAATAATTGTGCGGTCCTGGCGGGCTGTCAACATCTTGGCCTACCACTTCTTGGTCTCTGGCCGACAGAACCACTTGTCTGGAAGCGTTGCCACAATCTTCCAATAACACTTTGACTGACAATAAAATTTTGGGCCACATCTTGCTGAGTCATGCCAGTATGAACCATTCCTATGGCATTACCGGCCTGCTGTAGTCATAATTCAATTACAATATTCAATAACTGCTAAATTAGACAGATTCACCTCACTTACCAATGGTTTCTGATGGTAATAATATCCAGGTTTCGCTCTATATTGTCAGGTACATATACACAGCCGGGTGCGCTGACTGGTTGTCATGCCCCAGATACAATGTTGCACATGCACATTATAGTGAATGCAGTAATTTTTAAAACGGATAGCGGGCAATTAATCCCAGCGAAATTTTAGTGAATTTTCTTCAATCCTAAGTATGACCCTTAACTTTTTTGCTGAGTATATGTTCAATGGTGGGTTTTTTTCTGCAGGGGTTCATTTATGCATTTGTAATATTGAGATCAGGAAAAAAATACTTAAGATTTTATAGGTGTCAACCTCTGAAACCTCCAATGAGGGAGATCTCCCTCATTCCAAATTTCCAATGAGGGAGAAAGAGTGTGAAACGTGACTGAAACTGTTTTGCTCAATTTATCTTTCCCTTTTCATGTATCAAAATAACTCCAAAAATTTGATTCCGACACACCTGTTATGACCATTACACAAACCCTGCAGTAACTAGGAGATTATTTTTCCACAAGGTGTAGATTTTGAGTTTGTGTGAGTTTGGACTTGAATGAGGGAGTTTTGAGGGAGATTGGTAAATTTTGGTTGAAATAAGGGAGTCCCCTTCTTAATGAGGGCGGGTTGACAGCTATGAGATTTAAATTATACTTATCTAGTAAATGCTAAAATCCTCAATACGATTCACCAGTTTGAAAAAGTTTTACTTAATACACAAACAATGCACCAATTCAATGTGTTGTAACGTTTTAACCCTTAGGCTGCTACATTGATTTCTATGTAAAGGGACACCACTGCTGAATTAATTATTGAAATTTAAATTGATTTACTTGATTTTTCAAATGTGCATAACTTGGAAAATATTTGTTATATGTGAAAAAAAGTTGCATGAAAATTGTTCATTGTTGTCTCTAGTTTATATGAACGTTTTCAATTCTAAAGTTGCTGCAGTATTTACCTGTACAGGTGGTAATAACGGTAAGAAAATGTGAAACTGTTAATTATTTGGATTTAAGCAAGAGAAAGATCGTTTTAAAATTATTTTCGTCCGCAAATGTGATTGGCAAATGATAACAGAGATTATAAACTTCAGTTTTGACATAAGACGCTGTATATTTACACGGAGATTCTCAGGTAAAAAGGTCAGGTATTTCGTAAATATGGACGGGCCTAGTGATTAAATGTTGTTTTTGACTAGTCTAGATCTTGGCAAAGTCTTTCCATGTCTGCATTTGTATTGCAAGTCCGTCAAGTTTTACTTATCTAAGTGTTAAATTCTCCGACCTCGTACTATACAATGCGGAAAAGAAAGTGAGCAAGTCTTAAACAAATCACTGTAATGGAGCGTATTCATAGTTGAGTCTGTAAATGAAAACACACACAAACAGATCATATCGTAAATGTAACACATTGATTCATTAAAGCCAAATGTGACACCTGACACCTCAACTCGATGTAATTAACAGCAATTATCGTATTGTTCTTAAATCTCTCGATCGACTTTCAAAGTCATACTGGCTCCTGTAAAAACATGAACCCACAAAGCTCTCCTAGGTTGTGATTTTAACTGTGGAACTGTTTTATGCATAAACACGCAGAGCTATGGTCCTTGCACTCCCTTTAAGGAGTGTGTGATTGGAAAGGACAGACAACTCTGGGTAGCGATTGGATCACGCTTTGTGACAAATTTTCTGATTTGCACTGTCGTCTGTGTTGGTGTAAGTACAGAATACTGTTGATCAACATTGATGAAGTTTGATTTTATTATGAACAACATGGTTTTGACATTCAGCACAGTTCACAGTCTTAAGCTTTATCGTAAATTATTTTTACTAATTTCATACTAGTCTACTCACGAAAGATGTCGATGAACATGGAATGGCGAGGTGTCGTACTTTTGCGTTTTATTTGTATCAAAGAATAAGTGACAAAATGAAATTAGAACACTATGAAGAAGACAATGTATCGATGTTGGATTTACGCTATTGAAACTTGAAACCAATAACTTACTTCGAGGTATCCAAGTTTTTCGACTTTTTATGGTTCGAATTATCAGTTCTATTTACTAAGATAAAGGAGAGATTTGGCCGGGACCGGATAAATACTTCAAGATGAACAGGGTGGTCTTCGAGTTAAAAGAGTTCAAGATAACGAGGTTCGACTGTATATACAAAAATATGGTCACCTTACCAAAGTGTTGTTTCAACTCAAATATTGCTACAATATGTTCAATTGTAATATAAAAATATGAACTTTATTTATTTCACAGCAATTATGGACAACTTATTTTAATCACTGTTGCTGGCCCGGATGTTAGTACGCAGGGGGTCTTAGTGTGGGAGGAAACCGGAGTACCCATAGAAAACCCATGTGGCGGGCAGGTGACCCCAAACTTTTCACGTCCAATCAGGGAATTGAATTTCGTCCACCTTGGTGAAAGGTAAGGGCGCTATCCACTGCACCAACTGACCACCTGTCGTATTCAGTTGTCCTGGGCCCTTGATTCTGGTTTTAAGGCCCTTTCTCTTTGGCCATTAGTGTATCACCACCTTAATTTATACAACACTGCCCGAGTGATCTTTCAGACCAAATATGATTACAACCTATCGATAGTGTCCATGAGGAATATGCTTTGAAAGATTGAAATAACTGATTTTGCACTATATTGTCCCCCGCCCCAAAAACAGCTTTCATTTATACAACAATTGATTCCTTTGTCCTTTGTTAAATGGACAACGGATGTTTGATGAATGGGCGAAAGTCAATCTGATAATCCTACAATCTGATAATGGTTGGCTAAAAATCACAAAAGGTGTTAGGAAAGTGAAGCTAAGTATGAGTTTCTTTTCACATCTGATTTGTTAAAGCTACAGATATGTCAGAAAAAGTTTTAAATGCATAGATACAGTATCTTGAGAAAGGATGAAAAAAGAAATTCATTGGTATGTAAAATTAATGTTTCTATTATGTTTGTTTTAATGACAAAATAGAAGTTACAAGTAAATGGGGTATATCAATAACATACCTGGTCTCCTTTAATACTGCATCTCCGTTTTGCTCTTTGTTGCCTTTTTCAATGACTTGTTGATATATTTCATCTAATATATCCTGTACAATCTGTTAAAAACATATCATTTCTTCTATCATATAATTAATATATGTACATTATGACACATGATCGACACTTTTTTACAAGTACATGTATATCACTTAGCACAGGGTGAAACTATTATGCCACTAAAACATTTTGTGTTGTCTTTAAGCAACACAAAACTACATATCTGAAAGTGCAGAATTCTTTAACAGATGTGGTGATCTAGGTGATCCATAGCAGTAGTAGCATATAGACTTTCATATAGGTAACCTTGTTTAAGGTATCTCAGAACTCATAGAAATAAAACATAACTACTCACCTTATGTTCAGCCATCCCAATAAAGTTGGATTTCACATGGTAATACAGCTTGGCTACACACAAGTCTGGTGAGAACAGCCGTGATCTCACAACATCTGGCATGTTGGCTAGTTTGACCACTGTCATCAAGGTACGTGGCAGCAGGTAGTCCACTTCAAATAATGGTGCAAGCTTTGGAAGCAGCTCCAACATACTTCTGACAAATCCAATCAATATTTATGTGTCATACATATAAAAGTGAATTAAACAGTATATGTACAATTGACTCAAGGCACATTTGCCTAAAAGGGCTATTTATTCATTAACAAGAGGCCCAATGGGTCTGTATCACTCAACTGTTATCCATTTCATATGTAAGACGTTCAAAGAGGGACCAGGTCAAATTTAATCAAATGGACTTCAGTAATCAATACTTTACACAATATGGTCCTTAATGTTTAAAGGGTCTATAAAGTCAATTAGTCAAATAGCACCCTTAAAATTGATTAGATACTGAAAATATATACCTCCTAACAAAACTTTATGTAGATGATAACGCCAGTGTGGTCAGTTTTATCTTTTGGGATAGCCATAATAACAAGAGATCCCAGAGGGATCTTGGCGCCCACCTTTGTACCATCTTCATTAGTTCTTTGTCTGTTCATTCTTTTCTCTTCTTTCCTCTAATCTGTTTGATCGAGTCATGTTAACAGTAAATGCACCTTGAGGTGACTTTTGATCTAAACTTAATACTGATGTGTATGAAAGCCAACCTTCAAAGTGAGTTTGTCATTTCACATATTTACTAGTACAGTACTTAATGTGAAAGAAATAGAATCCATCATTGCAATATGAGAAAGATCTGTTTAGTTCTTCTTTTAATCCATTTTGTTTTTATGATCAGTCTCAAAATATAACATACACAACGAGGGATCAAGGGGAACCTACATTTAAAATTTGAGAAAGATCCCTCACGTACTTCCCGAGAAATAGCGATAACAAACTTTCACTATCAAAATCCAAGATGGCTGCCTGTCGGCCATGTTGTTTATCCGGTCAGTCTCTAAAATTGCCCTGCACAGCTAAGGACCAAGTGGAACCTACATATAAAATTTGAGAAAGATCCCTTTGGTACTTCTTGAGAAATACCGATAACAAGAATTGTTTACGGACGGATGACGGACGGCGGACGACGGACAACGGACGGACGACGGACCACGGACGCAGGGTGATTTGAATAGCCCACCATCAGATGATGGTGGGCTAAAAATACCTACAACTGAAATAGCAGAATATACGGGCCTTTCAGTGAGAAGTGAACGGGTAAAGTTCTAGCTGTCAACTGACCACACCTTACACATGTTGCTTTGATTTACACTACATTGCAAGCAAAAATTATAAATATTATGTTATATAAATCTAATGGGATATTTGTGTTCCCAGTTGGATTCGAATAAAAAAAAAACAGGTTTAATTAGAGTATGCAAGCAGGAAGGTACCATAGGGAGAGTTTCAAACCACACAAAGTAGGTTTAAACCTAAAACATTTTTTTCATTTATATAGAGATTGAAATGTTGTTTGAAAATGCTATTGATTTAGAATAGATTTAGAATAAATGAATGTACTTATATTCCAAAGAAGTAGAATAAAGCAAAGATTTACCCATTTTAGTAGGCTATAATGACATATTTGTTAGTAAGAAGTTCACAAACAGCTTCCACTAAAACGTATAGTTGTACAATTAAGGATTTCTTCATTACAAATAAACATGACATGAATTGTTTATAAGGAGTATCAAACCATATTATCATGAAGAATTTTGTGACAAGATTATGAAACAAGAGTCCCAAGGACCTTAGCGGTCACCTGAGTTATATCATAGGTACTGGTAGCTTTATTTTATTGTTTAGATGTGATGTGGAAATCAGCATGTAAACCAAGTGAAATACAATACTTGTCATGTCATCAAAGGATAAGAATTTGGAAATATTGGAAAATGTTCCCTTTGGGGCCCCGCCCTAGCCTCTGGGGATTGGGCAGTTATCCTAATTTTACAATGTAATACCCTCATTCACCAAAGATGATTCTGACTAAGTTTGAATAATTTTCTGATGAAAATAGATAAGATATACCCAAAAGTGTTATTTCCGTATATATGAACTGTAGTAAACTTTACCCCCTCCCCAAGGGAGAACGGATAGTTCAGGGGTCCTGAAATTTACAATTTAAATAAAGCCTCTGATGATCTTTCTTTCCATACAGAGAAAATGACTGTAGTACCTCCGAGTCTGGAGAAGAAGATTTTTGAAATATTGGTTAATTTTCCCTTTGGGGCCCCGCCCTGGCCCCAGGGGTTGGTGTAGGAATCCCAATTTTACAACTTTGTAGCCTCATCTACCAAGGATAATTCTGACAAAGTTTGAAAAAAATTCATCCACTGGTTCTTAAGAAGTTGAAAATGTAAAAAGTTTACGCACAACTGACGACGGACAACGCCGGACAGAAAGCGATTAGAATAGGTCACTTGAGCAAAGCTCAGGTAACCTAAAAAAAACTTTCTTCACTAGTGACCTGCCACTTAACAATTCATCAAACTTTTTTGGAGATTTATGGTTACCGTAGTAATTTTGCCTTCAAAGATGTTTTTAAGTCACTTATTCATATCCAGCACTTTATAGCTAAAAGCTAAATATAATAGCTGCTGGTTATACAAATACTGAGATGATTGAAGGTGTGAACTCATCTGACCTTTCTGTGACCCTGAAAATGTATCACTGAAACAAAAGTAACAGACTACAAGCTAAATATAATCACACATGGCCTTTTAGTTCCTCAGAAGAAGTCATTTTAAGTTTTTGACAATTTGACCTCTGTGACCTTGAAAGCAGGTCAAGGTCGTATTTATTCATAAAGTTTGTCTGGCTTCATCCAAAGAAGCTACCAGCCTGATATTTTGACTCAAAGCCATTCAATTGTTCAGGAGAAGTCATTTGATGGTTTTTTTTACATATTTGACCCCTGTCAAATGGGCCTGTTTCACTCACTTGTTATTAATCTTTAAAGTGGATCAGGGCTACCAGCCAAAATGTTTTGACTTAAGGCATTTCAGTTCTTTAGATGTCCCGTGAAGTTTTAAACATATTTTACTCTGTGACCTTAAAAGTAGGTCAAGGTCATTTTTATTTGTAAGCGTTGTTTGGCTCTATCCGAAGAAGTTACCAGCCAAGAATCATAACTCTAGGCCATTCCATTCTTCAGAAGAAGTTGTTTAAATGAAAAGTTGACAGGTAGGTTATACATTCAAAGCAATTCCACAGTCCTTCTTCCTAGCATGTATAGGCCAAATATGACCACAGGTCTAATAGCTATTGAGAATTTGTTCAAATATTTACCCAAGTTTTACCCTGTGATTCTATACATATGTTAAGGTGCAGCATGAACACTAGAACAAACTAACTGATAGTCCTTCATCAAAAACAAATACTAAAACCCTCGGCTTCCTGGTTATTCCAAAGACATTTAACATGTTTAACATATTGGACTCCTGTGACACTGAAAGTGGGTCATTGACATCAATTTGAAATGGGTCAGGGAGATAAACCTTGATAGCCCCTTATCTCAGCATGCAATAGAATGAATAGCATGACACTATGACTCCTGCTTATTTGGAAGAAGTACATGTAGTTTAAAGAAACAGGAATTCCAATGTAGTGCATGTATCACCTGCCAAGTTGAGATGGAATGATTGCTGATTACAAGAAACACATGATGAAAGAATGAAATGCATTATATTTGTTGATGTTTTAATGATCAGGTCAACGCAGCCTCATTAAACATTTCTGAATTTGGCAGGGTATTAAGCAAGAGGAAGGGACTTTAGCATGTAACTTAGAGAAAATAGTATATATAAATGACATGAACTGTCCATACAATGTTGGTCAGGCATACTTACAAGTTCCATGATGATTTTCCAGCGAAATATTCCTGTTTTGATTTGTATTCGTCGACACCCCACCACACAGGAACACGTTCACTGTGTCCAATCTCTGTTGATGGTCGTTGAAATGGAGAATTTTTTCCCCAAAGAAAGTGCAGCACAGGTACAACCAATAGCCAACAGGTATTCCCAGTGTGTCCAGCAATAAAGTTACTCATCAACTGCAGTGTGTTTGTAACAGCCCTTCAATAAAAGAAAGATTTTTCCAAATACAAACAACTGAAAATTCTTCTTCTGTTATTCAGATATAACAAAAAAATAGTAATGATGGAATATGCTCCCCTAAAAGGTCACAAGACTGTAATCAAGTACCCTCAATGTGACACAGTGACATCTGGCATATGCACAAACAATAAAGTGGAATGCAGCCCCGCCTTTCCTTCCTAGGTATATCCATAACATTTTAATAAGTTGTCTTTAAATTAAACAAGTCAGACAGTATGACCCCAGCAACATATTTGACTTTTAACTCAATGTCGGCGACCATGACCTTGGGCGTACAGACCCGATTGTGGTTTTGACAATTTCCATGACACTGGTGCTAATTTCATGGTTGGCTGGTCAGACTTTGTGTAAGAATGGTAGGGTCTATCCTGGTAGCGTTGCTGTGTTCTATATATACAGTATATATATATCATTTTAGGGTGGGAATTTGAAGTGTTTAAACGTGATGACCCCAATTCCTTGTTTTGTCTCATCCCTGGGATAGGGACAGAACCCAGGAGAAATTCTGGTGGCAAATGTTTATTCATCTTTACATACCAAGCAATTGTTTGTATCATTACAGGTTTATTTATTATCAAAAGTATTTTGATTACATTTTTCTATTAGACCTCATCACTGGGTGAAAACTAATGCAAGGTCAAATTCTGGTAGTGTATTTGTCAAATAATTTACCCCAGTATTGGCCTACCCCTCTATCCCTAGAGGAGTCAGCACCTGCACTTATAGGAAGGGCACAACCTCCATTTATACAACATCAAGTGACTTTGACCACATTTGGTTTAAGTCCTTCCAGCTGTAAAGAAGAAGGATGTTAAACAGATATTTTAATTTCCTCTATTTGGTCTACTCCTCTACCACCAGCATTTATTAACCCTTTACTTTAAAACAATAGATCCAAGAAGGATCTTGGCACCAACCATGAAAGGATCTTTATCAGATCTAAAAAAAAAAAGAAATTTACTTTCTATGCTTTTCCGTTTCCTTACAGGTACAAAGTGCAATGTTGGAAATCCTAAACAGGAATCTTGTACATAAACGTAAACCCCTTAATGTCAGACATTATTTGCCACTATGGCAAAGGTTATTGTACAGGAATGGATGTGCTAAAAATATGTACTTTTTACTTTATAAGAAGTGCTGTCAATAAGGGTGAATTCTGGCAAGGGCCAGGGATATTTTTAACAATGGGCACCAAAATGAACTAACATATAACATTTGAGAAAGATCCCTCCAAAACGTTCTGAGAAATAGCGATAACAAACTTAAATTAACTGTCAAAATCCAAGTTGGCCACCTGTCAGCCATTCTGTTTATCTGATCTGTCTCAAAATTAAACAGGCACAACTGCGGATAAAGGGAAACTTTATATATGTGAAGTTTGAAAAAGATTGCTCAAGCACTTTCGAATTGCGATAACAAGAGTTGTTCAAAGACAGACAATGGACCACCATCGAATGGCATCTGTTCAGAAAAAGAAGAAGAATATTAACAAGAGATCCCAAAAGGATGTTAGCAACCCCCGTCATATAATCTTCAATTGTTCTAAGTAAATTATATTTTTTCTCTTAATTTTTCTCCTTTTCATGTATCTTTTGATAGCCTTAGTCAACAGTAAATTCATCTTGTCTTTAACAAGAGATCCCAGAGGGATCTTAGCGCCCACCATTGTACCATCTTCATTGGTTCTTTGTCAGTTCGATCTTTTCTCTTCTTTCCTCTAATCTGTTTGATCGAGTCATGTTAACAGTAAATGCACCTTGAGATAACTTTTGATCTAAACTTAATACAAGAGGCCCATGGACCTAAACGGTCACCTGAGTCCTACAGTACTTATTTTTGTTGTTGAAATATGTACCAATTTGAGTACAAAATAGTTAAGTATAACGTTAACATAAGTTTGTCAGGACCATGAGCTGATCATTCCTACAAAGATTCAGTTCAATCGGCACAGTTAAACTTGAGTTTTAGTTTGAAATAGTTTTTCAAAATGGTGGCCGTGGCGGTCATATTGGATTTCTGCTCGACCCGAAAAATAACCACACTTTGTCTGGACCATGAGTCCATCATTCCTACCAGGTTTCAGTTCGATCGGCCCAGCAGAACTTGACTTTAAGTTTGAAATAGTTTTTCAAAATGGCGGCCGTGGCGGCCATATTGGATTTCTGATCGACCCGAAAAATAACAACACTTTGTCAGGACCATGAGACCATCATTCCTACCTGGTTTCAGTTCAATCGGCCCAGCAGAACTTGACTTTATGTTAGAAATAGTTTTTCAAAATGGCGGCCGTAGTGGCCATATTGGATTTCTGATCGACCCGAAAAATAACAACACTTGGTCAGGGAGATGTCAGTAACCTTCCCATGAAATATTAATGAAATCCCTTGGCCAGTATTTCAGCCTAAGTTGAAAATGTAAAATGTTAACGGACGACGGACGACGGACGATGGACGACGACAGACGAAGACGGATAGCAATAGGTCACTTAAGCTAAAGCTCAGGTGACCTAATATAATATAAAAGACAACCTTCAAAGTGAGTTTGCCATTTCACATATTTAGTACAGTACTTATTGTAAAAGAAATAGAATCGATCATTGCAATATGAGAAAGATCTGTTTAGTTCTTCCTTTAGCCATTTTGCTTTTATGATCATGCAGTCTCAAAATATAACATGCACAATGAGGGATCAAGGGGAACCTACATATCAAATTTGAGAAAGACCCCTCCAGTACTTCCTGAGAAATAGTGATACTTTACAAACCTTCAATGTCAAAATCCAAGACGGCTGACTGTTGGTTATTTTGTTTTTCTAATCATTCTCAAAATTAAACATGCACAACTACGGACGACGACGGACGAAGACGGATAGCAATAGGTCACTTAAGCTAAAGCTCAGGTGACCTGATATAATATAAAAGACAACCTTCAAAGTGAGTTTGTCATTTCATATATTTAGTACAGTAGATTCCGCTTAATATCACTTCCCATTTGTCAGCGGAAAACATGATATTAACCGAAACATGACATAAACAGAATACGTATTTTCTGGCGTTTTTCATCCCTCAAAACCGGAAGTGAACTTAGTCAAATGCCTAAGTGTTGTGGCTCTACGAAGAAGATTGTAAAATAAAAATATTTTGTAACTAATCTTGTTCTTTACTCTAGTTGAAATATAGTATACGTAAATAAGTATAAAAATACATATATTCTTTGTAATTTATTTCAGTATGCAGTTACATTTCATATAGTTAGTTGCAAAATGATGATCAGTACGATCGTCACTGTGATTGTTTACTGCAGTAGTGATGAAGGCATACAAGTGTTTGGCTGGTATTCTGCACCAAATTCAATTGTAAACATGAGACTTGGTAAATATTTACATTTATCTTGATATATATACTGTTCTTTCGCTAGGTACATCTTTTTATAGTTTATGGTTTAATTTCTTTAGATATTTGCTGCAAGTGTGACATCGTTTTCTGCGAGTTTGTCTATGTTAAATACCGCTATCGTACGGTGACCTTTTCGTAGCATTTCATTGGATGACCTCAATATGCAAATAAGAACACCAGGCAATCAGATGCCGTGTTATAAAATCGGGTTAATCCAGCCGTAAACGAGGGAAGTGAAAAATGTAACCTCCTGTTACGATAGTTTGAACAATAAATGATAACACAAAAGGTAATCACTTTATTACATCAACATTTGGAAAGTGTAATTAAACATAGGTCATAATTTTGCAATGAATAAATTCTCGCAGATCACGATTTTACACCAGCAGCATACGGTAGAATTACGACAACACCATGTCGGCGTCGTACGTGGGTTATTTGAGATTCAAAACAAAGACGATTTTTTCGTATTGTACGTGAACCTTGGTCAAACTTAAATAATTTAAGAAACTTATTGTTTGAAAGACACTCTTTATTTTAATCTCAATCAACATTCGTCATATTTTACGGAACACCATCCACTTGTATGCCTACTTCACGACAACGTAAATTTATTCAATCTGGAGACGAGCTGTAATGGAAGATAGTACACATGCATGTTAGTTGAAAGATTACATCACACTTGGCATTAGAAAAGTTTACAGATGTAAGACTGTCCTGGCTTACCAAACCACAGGTGAATATCCTGTTAACAAGTATGTAAGGTCAACCTATTGTTTAACAGTCAGCCAGGTGTAACCTATTGTTTGACAGTCACAAGCAATGATGTGGCCAAAATAAAGTGATATTAAGAGAAATCGACATAAAATCAGGTGATAATAAAAGAATTGAATTGCATAGATTATATAGCAGGAAAAACGGTGCATCAGAAAAACATGATAATAACCTAAAAGTGACATTAACGGACGTGATATTAAGTGAAATGTACTGTACAGTACTTATTGTAAAAGAAATAGTCTCCAGTACTTGCTGTGAACTAGTGATAACAAACCTTTAATGTCACAATCCAAGATGGTGGCCTGTTGGCCATTTTCTATATCCAATCAGTTTGAAAATTAAACATGCACAACTACAGGATGAGGGAAACCTACATATATATTTTGAGAAGAATCTCTCCAGTACTTCCTGAGAAATAGTGATAACAAACATTCACTGTCAAAATCCAAGATGGCTGACTGTCGGCTATGTTGTTTATCCAATCAGTCTTAAAAGTTGCCCTGCACAACTAGGGACCAAGAGGAACCTACATATTAAATTTGAAAAAGATCGCTCTGGTTCTTCCTGAGAATTAGGGATAGCAAGAATTGTTTAAGGACGGACCACGGACGGACCACGGAAGCAGGGCCATTTGAATAGCTCTCCATCAGATGATGGTGGGCTAAAAAATTCATACTGCTGGGTTTAAGAGTTTCCTTTCAAAGTGAAGTCATTGTTAATTTTTTCAGAAATAGCAATAACAAACTTGAACTCTCTAAATCCAGAATGGCTGCCAGGTGGCTATCTTGTATTTCTGATCAGTCCAAAAACAGAATACGCACAATAAAAACCTACAGGAAACCTATATATGAAATTTGAAAAAGAAATTTTTGGGAAATACGGATTACAAACTTTCAAACTTGCTTTTCCAATCAGTCCCAAAATAAAACATGCACAATTTTGGACCAAAGGGAACCTAAATATGAAATTTAAAAAAGATCTGTGCATGGCTTCAGAAACAGCAATGAAAAAACTTGAACTCTCAAAGTACAAAATGGCTGCTTTGTGGCAATCTTGTTTTCCTGATCAGTCCCAGAATGAAACATACCCAACTACCTCGTCCATGGGGAACGCGCATGTGAAATATGAGAAAGATCTCTTTATTACCTTTTGGGAAATACTGATATCAATTTTGAACTCTTACAATCCAAGATGGCTACCTGGTTGCCATCTTGTTTTTCTTATTAGTCCCTTTGGTTTGGTTTGTTTGTATTTTTCATCTTATTAACAGCTATGGTCATTTAAGGACGTGCTAGGTTTTGGTTGTGGAGGAAAACTGGAGTTCCCGGAGGAAAAAATATCGACCTACGGGCAGTACCTGATCAGTTCCAAAACAAAACATGAACAACAATTGCCAAGGGTAACTTACATTTGAAATTTCTTAAAAAGCTCTCTTGTACTTCTTGAGAAAATGTGATAACAAATTTGAAATCTCAAAATCAAAGGGCACCCATCTTGTTTTTCTGATCAGTCCCTAGATGAAACATGTACAACTAAATGGATCAATGGGAACCTTATTATGACATTTAAGCAAGATCTGTTCAGTTCTTCTATTTAAGGGTGGATAACAGACACACAGACCATGGACAAGCTGAATAGCCTACCATCTTGTACCAATAGAACCCTGCTTTTTGCCCTTAGGAAGGCCATGCCCTGTGTTTACAAACACAGAGTCAACATTGCTCATCATTTCTCCCGACAAATTTAGTTAAAGCCAGTTTTAATAAATCGCGACTATATTTCCTTGCACTCCGCTTAACTGTCATTTCCGATATGTATCCTCAAAATATCTTCAATTGTCAGCATAGATCTGCAAAATGACAAGCAAGCAGACCAAAGATTAGACAAATAGCCATACCTCAGTTTATTTGGAAACAGCGTTTTGAGCTCTTCTATTGTCTTTTTAAGACTTTTTTCATCTGAAGGTTGAAGCTGGAGCAGTAAACACAGTGTTTCCATGTCTTTCTCATTTTTCTCATCAAATGGTGCCATACACATGATTACATTTATCAAACTGATAATGACTCCAAGTCTCAGATGTTCTGGTAAGTCCAATCCTTGACTGGTTATCTGTTGTACAAATGTCATAATTGACTGTCTGAATATCTGAAAATATAAACAGTTATAGATCTTTTATAGTATTTGCTGTGAACAATTTGCTGAATGGGGCTTATGTGCTAATATGCTATTAAATATTCCACATTTGTGACCTTCAAAGAGTTTCAAAGTCAAATATATACTAGCAGAGATAAAGAACTGTGCAGAGGTAAAATGTTGTAAAAGACAATAACAAAATATAGAAATATAAAAAATCTGTTTCAGAACTGTAGGACAACATTTCAACATTTTATCAAAGATCTGTTAATTCAAAATTATTCAAAGAACACCCATTGCTTTCAGAGGGCACAACCAAACATGAAGTGTATCCTAAGCCAGATCACAATGTCAATATAGGATATGTCCACCATTAGAAGTAGTGCATGAATTGCACCAGCACCATATGGATTCCAACAAAATCATTGGAAAATGCGTTGGGAATGCTGTTCCAGAAGCGATACGTCAGGTGATAACTGTAGGCCAATAAAACAGGAATTAGCCACAAGATGTGTAAAGTGTTCTAGCCATTGTCATGTTGCAGCATACCATGGTATTGTTGTATAAATGGTGTGGCGTTGGCTTTCAGGATTTCATCATAGTTACAAGCGTGCAGTGGTCAAATTTTCATCAATGACCATAGAGGCATTCTAGAATTTACTGCTATGTCACCCAAGACCATCATACTACTTCCACCAAAGGGACAACACTCCACAACACAATTTTCCTGAAAACGCTCTCCAATGCAGCGGCACAATTAGAAGCAGTCGTCACTTCTGTCCAAGTAGAACCAAGACGCATCTGAGACCAAGATACATGCCCTATCCCGTTTAGTAAAGCAGAGATGTCTCCTGCACCAAGCAAGACCTGCAACACATTGTCGCCATTGCAGGACATAATGTACAGCTGGACATCATAAACAAAGGTGCTGTTCATGTTAGTGGTTTCTCCATAATTAAGGAATATTTCTTGATGTCAAAAGTGCAGTTTGGAAGCGGTTCTACAAGTTTGGACAACACCAACTTGAATCATTCTATCTGCTTGGGTGTGGACAATTTCACTCAGTCTAGACATAGCTTGCTAAACACATTTACCAGGAATAAATTTGTTTTTCTGTTTGTCTTAAATGTGAAGATTTACACAACAGTTACAAAGTTGGTAGAGATTGTCAAACTTACTTACTAACAGCACAAAATGCGAAATTTGGCACATGGACAAAATGCATTCACTGGTCAAGGCCGTTAAGGAGTGTACACATGTTATTTGTGAAAAGTTTCATCTGAAAAAATTATCAAAATATCATTATACTGTACACTATGGATCTTTGTTGGAATATTTATCATTAGACGCTTTTTGTGAACTTTTTATTGAAAGAGTTCAACTTATTTTACTTATGTGACCTTCAATTCTAGTCTTGGTTATTGAATAGGGTTTCAACAATTTAAAGCCCGTCACACTGTTAAGCACCAAAACAAAAATCATTACAAAGACCTCTAGGTTATTAACATATAAAATCTGAGAAACGTTCCTCAAGAACTTTCTGAGAAATAGTGCAAACAAACTTTAACTCTCAAAATTCAAGATGGCTGCTTGTCAGCCATCTTCTGTTTATCTGACAAGTTTCAAAAATTGATATGCATAACTAAGAACCATCAGAAACCTTCAGGTGAAATTTGAGAAAGATCCCCACAGCCATGCAAGAATTAAGGACGGATGGACCAAATGAGAGACTGAAGGACAAAGGGCAATTATAATAATAGCCAACATCTCTGCAGAACACGGTTTGGCAGTACACTAAGGAATTAATTTATGTTACAACACTACAGTCACATAATGAATTCTTTCATATAAATTAATGTTATAATGTTAGGAGAGTCCATGGAAAGGTCAACATAATATACAGAAGGTTTAGTTTATCTAGAAAAATATTTACACTAATGTCTATTTTTGTTTCAGTAATAATGATTCCAGGGCAAAGCAAGGACACAGAAAAGTCATCTTTCTATGACAAACATTCAATGTTGGTACACAATTTTCAATGTTGGTATAAAAATTCAAAGTACATGTACCCATTTAGAACATCTGTTATATTGTCCTTTGTCTACAAATTTGATACTGGTTTGCAGTCTCAACCCATCAGGCTGCCATTTTCAACACACAGCACATAGGTCCTCATTCTTGGTGTCACTTTAATTGATGAGTGGTGTTGACTGTCTGTTAAACAGCTTTGGCAGATGAATTGTATGGACAGATGAATTGTATGGACAGATGAATTATATGGACAGATGAAATGTATGGACAGATGAATTATATGGACAGATGAATTGTATTGTATGGACAGATGAATTGTATGATGAATTGTATGGACAGATGAATTGTATGGAAAAATCCAAGTTATTTTTGTTTGTTTTTAAAGAGTTCCCTTATTGATATTTTATTCTATCTGATATGATTTCCATAAAAGATCAATTTTCATAATTTCAGATTGATCGCTACACTTATTTGATATGTTCTGACATTTTTTGACAGAGATAATAAAGCTAAAGAGCTCCTTAGGTGTGATGAGAGAATGAACATAATTTCTGTACAAATATCTTGAATTTGTGATATATGGCCTCATTTCAGAGGACCGAAAACTGAGAAACATCCAGTGGCTGCAAACAGTGGAGCGAGATTGTAAGGGTGTACATCTTCCTTCTTTGCTGCCTCAATTACATTTATGATGATACAAGTAGAATGTCCATTATGCAGAAGATCAGGTCACATGGTAACATATTTCAAGAAGTTGGTTTTGGAAAAATCCAGAAATAAAAGATAGATTTTGACCAACTAGTTATAGAAATTCGATATATTCTGTGCCAGAAATGACAATCAGTTTCTTCGCTTTTAAAAGGCCGTCTCCTGCCCCCATTACCGGTTGCTTCCAGTTTTTCCCTGACGGCTTTAAGTACTACATAATTTTATCATACAAAGTTACGTCCCCTATTGAGAACTCACTGAAGGACCTCGAGTTATAGTGCTAGCATGCCGCATTATCTTGTGTGATCTTGGCAAAGACATAAAGTAAGTTTATCCTTTATTAAGGTTAATTAATGTGCTGATTATAATGAATTTGGTGTTTGCATTGTTGCCCAAATAATTCTTAGTGTTGTCAGCAAAAAGCCTGTATTTTCGTAACTCTCAATTCTAAAAACAGAGTTCGTCAACTTGTAGAAATAATTAGAATCTGTATGCCAGGTTTAACTTCATTAGTAGAGTACTTATTGCTAACTTTATAGATCAAATTGTCTATGATAGTTGTCAATTTCTAGTCAGTAATTGTCGATTGTATTTGTTACAGTTTCACTAAATAAAATCTGGAATAACATCAGAGCGGCCCTTTGTTTTGATACACATCCCAGAATAACTACATATCCTGTTTCCTTTCTTTTTTCCTTTGGGTTCATCATGGTGAACTCATGAAAACATCCAAAAATCCAAGCAAATCCATAACCTGATGGCTAAATAAGACATGGAAATGCAGTACTCTGCCAAGAGTTCCTCCTGTTGCCTGAAAAAAGTTGTAGTGCAACCTCTTTCAGCCTATATCTTTACTTTGACTGTGGCAAGTTATATATTTTTTTACTGCACATCTTATCTTAAAAGTTTTCAAATATTATATCTTAATAAGCCTCTTTTAGCATAGTGTATATATATCTTGCCTGACTTTTTTCTGTTGCAAAAATATCATAACGAAGTTTCTGAAATTTAAGAATGAGGTCTACTGATATTTTACAATTAACAAGAGGCCCAAGGGCCTTAGCGGTCACCTGAGTTATATTATAGGTACTTGTAGCTCAATTTCATTGTTGAGTCTGTACAAAATGTGAAAAACAACATGTAAACAAAGTGAAATACAATACTTGTCATGTCACCAAAGGATAAGAAATTTAACAAGGTTACAACATCATGGAACGCATGCATCGCATTAATGAAACCAAGGGGAATAACTCCAATAATTACGGTCGGATAATGGCGGTTATCGAACTTGTCCGAGCTTTCATGGTAATTAACCTTGTTGTGAAGTTTGAAGTTAAACCGTTAATAATTACTCGAGATATCGAGCGGACACTGTTTCGGCAAGTCCATAAAGGGGCATAACTCCACAAATTATGGTCGGATAATGGTGGTTATCGAACTTGTCCGAGCTTTCATGGTAATTAACCCTGTTGTGAAGTTTGAAGTTAATCTGTTAATAATTACTTGAGATATCGAGCGGACATCTTTCGCATGTCTGCCTGCCCGCCCGCCCGTCCGCGCCCGCCCGCTCACGCGATAACATAATACGTCCCCATCTTCGACGGGCGTATAAAAACTATTCAAATAAATTATTTTGCTATTGAAAATTACACCCTCTCCGCAAGGGAGAGCAGATGACCTGGGGTATAATGAAATTTACAATTTAGGTAATGGTAATTTAGGTAAGGACCTTTCTATCCAAGAACAGTAAAACATCTGAGTCTGATGTTAAAGAAGATTTTTTAACTATAATCCCATTTGGGCCCCACCCCTCCAGCTTCTGGGGGTGGGGCAGGATCTTATTTTTTCATACCATTTATAAATTGCCATCTGGCATCATAATCATTCCAACCAAGTTTGAATAATTCCCTGCTGAAAATGGATAAAATATACTCAAAGTGTATAAACTATAGTAAACTTTACCCCCTCCCCAAAGGAGAAAGGATGGCCCGGGGGTACTGAAATTTACAATTTAAATAAAGCCCCTGATGATCTTTCCATCTATGCAGAGAAATTGACTGTAGTACCTCTGAGTCTCGAGAGGAAGATTTTTGAAATACATAAGTTAACTTTCCCTTTGGCGCCCAACCCTGGACCCTGGGGTTGGGGCAGGAATCCCAATTTTACAATTTGATACAATCTTCCTCAAGGGATGCTTCTCAAATATACACAAAAGTGTTATTTCCCTTTATAAACTATAGTAAATTTTACCCCCTCCCCAAGGGAGAACGGATAGTTCGGGGGTACTGAAATGCAAAGCTCAGGTGACCTAAAAATGTGAAGTATTTGTTATAGACAAGTTTCTTTCAATCTTGTACTGTAAATTTTATAGACTGGATTTTGTATCAAATAAAGTTACTGTATAACAATTTGAGTTGTGTTGGACATTTTCCTTTTGATCAAATGCATTAACTAAAGGTCTTCCATATTTTTTTTAAAGCAAGTTTCCTGCTTCTTATAGAAATGCTCACTCTGGACATCGCTTTTCATTCAAACACAGCAGTTTTGTTTCTGGCTTGCCATACGTTGTTCGTCTGCTTACAAATGTATTGTTTTCATTTTTCGAATGGATTATTTTCAGAATTGAATGTGGAGGCAACTCCAATCTGTATTCTTTTTTCACATCATCTTAATGAATATATATATACAAAGTGATGCAGTACAGAGTGGGAGTGTGAACAATGCTTTTTACCAAAGGGGCATAATTCCATTAAATGTGGCGGTAACTGAAACCTATATAATTTATTCAGACAGACAGAGTACATATTCCCAACAAAACTTGGGGGGTGGGGGCATAATAAATGCATTTATCTACTTCCAAAATCTTATAATACATGTGTGCATGGGCCCTGATAAATATTGTCCTGTTTTTGTATTATTGTAGCAGAACTGGACTGTGCTGTTGCAGCAATCAGGTAACTGTCCTTTGACCAGCCCTTGGTTTGATACCTGGGTTCCTATTACTTATTTTAGATACTTTCAAGAATGTGTTTTGTTTACATCTCTGGTTAAAATTTATCCAAATAACTTGTACCAATTTGCTTCAGTGTACCTTTACTAAATTACAAAAACAAAGAAGTGACAGAGCTCAAAACATAAATTTGTTTGGGTGGTATTGAAATAAATAATTAAGATGTACCTTTCCAGCGAACACATGAAAATCATGTGTTGAGTACCAAATTCTTCCTCTTGTGATGTACACGTAATTTAAACCCTGCAACATACACTGCAGCATGTCAAAGAACTCCTCCGGTGTCATGACTTGTGTTCGTAGGTCAAACAGCAATTTCTCAAACTGGTGTTTAACTATTTTGTCAGCATCGTCTTTCATGATTTTCATATGATCATCAATTCCAAAGACTTTTTTTACAACATCGACGAATGACGATTCTTGTTTTCCATAGACAAAGCCATCAAACTGGTGCCATGAGCCTGAAATAAAAATGTTATCAAATTAGATTGAAAAAAAAACATTATTGACACAAGATGTTAAATACAGTGGAACCCGCTTATTATGATATTCTATTTGCCAGAGAAAAATATCATAATAACCGATATATCATAATAACCCATCAAGCTGTTTTCAATCGTTTTTATGTTGTCTGAACCGGAAGTGAGATGCCTTATATTAATCAGACATAGATTGATGTGGAAACATGGAAAAATATAACTATAAACTGATGAAGTAATAACTGAAATAATTTGTTCATTGTTATATATATCAGCGTGTTGGAAAAAATCGAGAAGATTTTGTTGTGCCGTCGAAATGATCAGTATATGTGGGGCCAGACCCTAGGGCCATCCTGGAAGCAAATGTGCATTCTTCTCTTTATACTCAGCAATTGTATATGTGGTTATATGGTGGGGATCTCAACCATTTCCAGGCAATACACTTTTTTTGGCCCCACCTCTTAGCCTGGGAGGTCAGCCCCACCATTTGTACAATTTTGAATCCCTGCATCCCATGAATGCTTTTGATTAAATATGATTGATATCCAGTGCATAGTTCTACAGAAGAAGTCGTTTGTAGAAATATAGCCAAATTGCCCGATTTTGGCCCCGCCCTCAGCCCTCTGGGGGTCAGCCCCACCATTTGCACAATTTTGAATCCCCACCACCTAGGGATGCTTCCAGTCTAATATGGTTGATATCCATCACTTGGTTCCAGAGAAGAAGTCGCTTAAAGCAGTTTAGCCAAATTGTCCCCTTTTGGCCCCGCCCCTCAGCCCCCTGGAGGGTCAGCCCCACCATTTGTACAATTTTGAATCCCCACCACTTAGGGATGCTTCCAGTCAAATTTAGTTAAATTCCAATCAGTGGTTAAGAAGAAGAAGTCGTTTAAAGAAATTGTTGACGGACGGACGACGGACGACGGCCGGACGACGGACGACGGCCGGACGACGGACGCCACGGTATGGCATAAGCTCACCTTGGTCCTTTGGACCAGGTGAGCTTATAACCAATTATTGTTTTTAATGTAAATTGTAAATAAAGCAGCCGTCGTCAGTTGTTGACGATAATAACGTTAACTTTGGATCGATTTCGGCACCATGCTGTCTGAGCGATATGTCCCGATTTTGACACTTTTTCAACGGAGGCATGGGGAAATCAACTTCTAATGCGATAGAGAAACTATTGCTTAAGTGATTAAAAACACACGTCTTACTTCTGAAGTAATATTTTCAATGAAATCGGCATGATTTTCCCATGTGACGTGTCAAGGTAACTGTGAATTATGATTTGTGAAAGGCATGCTCGTTTTCTTATCGGAATTTGTGCTAGAAAATGTTGGTAGGCCTAATCATTTTAATTTGATACACAGTCCTCCAGTGTATTTTAGATAGCAATTAACTGCACCACATGTTTTGTTAAGTCTAAAATGTATGACCAGCAAGCGATGGTCCATCTATTATTTTCCGCTGACTGGGGTGAAGCGAGGTGTGAAAAATTTACCTGGAGTGGACAGGTGATCACCTCGGGCGATGTACAGTTAGCCGGACCTATTGTTTAATTGTCCAGGTGTTTCACACGGACAACACACCTGAGTTTTTACCTTATAAAATCCATTCACGGCAGAAAAAAATATCATAATAAGCGTGGTCCCACCTTTGACCATATCATAATAAACTAAAAAAAATAGTTAATGAAGGAAAAAATCGGTACATGGGGAAAATATCATAATAACCGATATATCATAATAACCGATATCTTAATAAGTGGGTTCCACTGTAGCAAAACCCAAAATTTGACCTTTGACACAAAATATGTCCTGAGAAAAAATTGTGCATTGGCATCCTTGAAAGAGAATCAAAGTCATTCATTTTTCTCCAACCTGATAGCAAACCATCTCAGCATCTTACAGATCAAATATTAAGATTCTAGATTTTGAAGATCTTGAGAACAAGCTTTTCAAAGTTTAATACACAAAACAGTGCATTTGAACTTTGTCCCCTACCAAAAACCATGAGTTGACCTTTGACATAAATGTATCCTAAGAAAAAGTTTGCATTGTTAAGTCTACATTACATGCTCAAAGATGAAATTTATAGCTTTTTGTGTTAATGAGTTATATATGTACATGCCATAACTTTCCGGTGCAAAATAGTGAGATCAGTGATTATTTTTAATGAGATTTGGTCAAAAATAGTGAGATTTTTTCTCTGAATTAGTGAGAAATTCATGAGACATTTAAAACATAAATTTTATAGCATATAACATAGTATTGAATCATTTGTGATATTCTGAAGCCTCTAATTACTTTGTTAGAGCCAAAATTGAAGATTTTTTGATGTTTTAAAGGATTTTAGGAAGGTTTACACATGACCTACGGTCCAGATAAAGCTATCAACATTTAAAAGTAAATATATCACATAAAAGGCAAAAAATAATAGTAATTAAAGAAAGAAGAAATTCTAGAGGAATGCCCTTGTTAACCCATGTTAGAAAAAAAATATCTCAAAACATTGGGAATATTTAATATTAATTTGTTGGGAAAAAATTAACCAATAACTACTATTTTTATATATCCAATTCTGAAGAAACTTGTTTTCTTCTGTTTATGTTATTTTCATTAACACTCATGATCAATCCCATCCCGACGGCAAGAGAATGAATTCCGGATTCAATGTCGGTGTCCGGTTTCCATTTTATAGTCACCTCCAACATTTCCATTTCTGTAAACCATGTTTTCGATTGTAATGAATTAACAGCTCTTATGTTGCTGTTTAATGTTAATATCAACTGCCATCACATATTATTTAACAACTAGCCCCGACTGGTTTTTGGATCACTGATTTAATTGCAAGCAAGTCACCAAGCCAATTGCCCCATCAGCTGGCCGGGCCATTCAGAACTTTCACACCTATGCTGCTAATTGGCCTGGCCTGTAGTTTCAGTGGCTGGCGTGTGACTTCAGACCTCGCGTTGACCAAGGTCAGTGTGAATCCATGTAGCTATTGTTTATTCACTAAGATTGACTAAATTTTGTTTCTTTTCGTGAGACCGATTGAAATTCATGAGAAATGGGTCTCAAGCCGTGAGGTTTTTTCTTGGCCAGTTTTAGTGAGTCTCATGCCAAAATCGTTAGATATGGCTGGCATGTATGGAGTTATTGCAATTAGGGAAAGAAAAAAAATATGATACCATGGCAGCCATCTTGGATTTTAAATTTATCAAAAATTTGGTATGTAGCCTGGAAAAACATAAATACTACCCCAGATGAAATTTACCTATCGGAACATCAGAATCAACTGGTTTTACCATATTGTTTGCATTTCAAAAAGATAAAAGGAAATTTTCAAAATGGCATACAAGTTGTTAAAGGTAAATTTTACAGAAAAATGAAGCAAAAAAATTCATTGTGATGAAATTTATCAACTTATGGAGGAATTTTTCAATCAAGCTTAAAAAGGGACTATTTCCAGCTATGCTAAATTTACATAGGAGCCTGCATCCTCATAACTTTTGTTTCAGAAGTGCTATGAGATTTATGCTGTTGTTTTAACTTTTTTCAATCCCTTATACATCTGGAGTTATTATTTTGAATCACCCTACTAATTATTTAGATGATTGATTAACCTAATTACAGCAAGGGGTTCAAAAAATGGAATTAACAGCCTGAAAGTGTTTTTCTGAAAGAAAAAAAACATCATATTTTTTGCATTGTAATACTTGGGAAAGAACATTTGAATTTAATCAAACATTATGTGAACATTTTAATGTAAAATATAGGATTTTTTTTCATTCTTATTATTCTTGTACACCAAAAATGTTCATCGTATGAAGATGTGGTGTTATTTCAAATATATATGCAAAAATTCAGTCCAAAAAAGGTGGTGGAAAGTATTCATAGTTATAATTAGGTATCCTATAGATCCAGGATTTTCCAACAGTGATGAATCCTGTCATGGGATTGGTACAACATGGGCTAACGGGGCCCATGTGTCCGATCCAGGATTCAGGAAATATCCTATCATGGGATCTATATCCACAAATTAGATCTAGATATCATGCGGACCCAGGAATTTCCTGATCAGATATCCTCTCATGGGATCCAGGTATATGAGCTACTCATCATGTCTGGATCCAGGATTGTCAGAAATATCCTCTCATCGGGGTCCGTATATTGATAATGGGAAATCTCATCCAGCCGTTGGAACCAGGGGCGACCGTTTCGCTCCTGGGGGGGGGGGGGATATATTGGCAGTAATCCTGGGACAAGAGGTGAAAGTTCACCCCTGGTAGGATAACGTCAGTAATCCGTGAGATTTCCATAGCTTATATATATATGTGTAGTATGATATAGCCCCCAAGGCCAAACCTTAAATGTAGATGCTCATGAAATGTATATATTTATGTATTGTTTATTTCTTCTGTTATGTGTATAAACATGTGTATGCTGATTTATAATACATATACAACAATGTTGGTCATAACATTGCATACCTCTACAGTTAATAAATAGCATTTATTAAACTGTATCATATTGTTCTGGTTGTTTATAAATTGTAGTTAATTATTTATAATAAACTTTGTTTGTAAACAGCCAGTTGTTTATATGTCATGTGCAACATTGTTGATTTTTAAGTATTTAGGTGTGTTAGAGATACATGTGGATTCATATCATATATATATATATATACATATTATCTTAGTACCAGCATGTGTACTAAAATTTAGGTATACGTAATGCTGTCAGGTTATATTTATAGATGCAGAACAAAGAACATAGCTCAACAGTCTCCTACACTCTTCTTACACGTGATAATATAGTCATAATTAGATTAGGGATGATGCTGATTGGCTTAAGTTATCACTAGGCAGGTCAAGGTTAATTACCATTGGTCAAGCAGTTAGCCATGCATAATTCATGAAATGACCAACAAAGGTCAGCGTCACCCCGCACTGTTTTAAGAAACTATCGGAGCGTGCAG